AATTCGCACTTCCTACGGTAAATTAGAAGAGTGCACTCCTGAAAAACTTAGCTCTTACAATGTTGACACCGCCAAACAATTGAGCAGCGGAAAAGAAGTCTCTGAGACTCTGGCCCCAAAGAAAACTCAAATGGATAACAAAGACTTGATGGAAGTCGAGGAAGAAATTACCAAACTGGCACGACAAGACAACCATGACCTATTCCCAGGGTACAAAGAACATCTAGAAAAAGCGGCTGCGGATGTACCAAAGAAAGTTCAGTTCAAGAAACCAGAAGTCACCCCGCCAGAGGTAAAGAAAAAGTACCTAAGAAAACTTACTTAGAAAAGACGTTGTCTAAGGAGTTTCCCGAAGCCAAGGAAAGAGTTGTCCAACAAATGGTTTTGGAAGGCAAAATGGAATTATCTTATGGTGAAAATTGTGTGATCTCCAACGGCGTCTCCGAGGCTTTCAAGAAAAAGATTTCGCGACAAAAGATCCCAATCAGAGTCGGCTCACCATAAAAGTTAACTAAAGCCGGAGGAGTGGGCTCAGACAACCAAGAAGCGGAAGAAACAGAGGCATTACGCATGCCCGCTGGGCCACATAAAGGTAGGTGCCGGAGACGTCCAATATATCTTAGGTAAACCCTTCCTAATCAACGTATCAGCAACCATGAGGTACGCGGGAGAGGGTGGGGAGAGTCTATCGATCAAAGATGACAAAGGACAAGTTTACTTGGTCCCTATTATTACCTTGGCTAATCAGGAATACAAAACAACTTTTCCCACAAACATAACTACAACTTCAAATGTGGTAACAGTCTCCAGTGATGCATCTTCGGAAAAAAAAATTCAATTAGCAAACGCAACATAGCAATGGAGTGTTAGTCTGCGCAGCCCAACATAAATCTGCAGCAAAGAAAGTTAAACCAGTCAACAAACCTATGCCCCAAAATATCAACACCCCACTTAGTTTCCCAGTTCTATCTCGGGACCCATACAAAGAGTTAAAATTTCTCAAGCATGTCATCAAGCTCCGAGAAGGTGCCCTACCCTTTGTAGAAGAAGAGAGGGGATTATTGAAACATTCCTATGGTAAACCTTACATTATCCCAGTAATTGCCCACAAGCCATAGCAACAAAGGCCCATCCCTATTGCCCAGGCCATCAGAGACCAATTCATTGAGTTGGTTAGAGAACGGATTTGGACCGGGCTCTATGAACAATCTTGTTCCAGCTATTCAAGTCCAGTGTTTTGTGTCAAGAAACAGGATGGAAAGCTCCGAGTGGTCCACGACCTTCAAAAATTAAATAAAGTCATGATTAAAGACACAGGATTGCCCCCCCGCACCGGAGGATCTGATTGAATCATTCACCGGCCGAGCTTGTTACGGGCTTGGTGACATTATGGGTGGCTATGACGAGCGGGAATTAGACATCAGCTCTTGACCCTTGACAACCTTTGAAACACCCTTAGAGCATTCGCATTCGTCGGGTTGAGTTATAGGTTAGGAAACCCGGGTTGGAGGTCCGGGTTTGCTAGCCTACTGTCGTCAAACGCATCCGTCCGGGTTAACAAACCCCTGGAGGACAACTCCCCGCAAAATCGCTAAATTTCAGGTTAGTGATCGCTAAATTTAGCGACCGCAAACCTGAAATCAAACTTTTGGTTAACTAACCTGTTGTTAACCTCGAATCAATGCGAGTGTGCAAACAGGCTTGGTTGGGTTAACTTGCCTTAACCCGGGAATTTAACCCAACCAATGCGAATGCTCTTAGGACGGTTCCAACTTACCAGATTACCTCAGGGAGCCACAAACTCAGTCGCAGTTTATCAATCCCAGATGATGTGGATTCTTCAAGAAGAAATACCGGAAAATGTTGGGATATTCATTGATGATGGCGGAATCAAAGGACCTGTCTCAGATCATAATCAAGAAAAGTTGCCTGAAAACACCGGAATTTGCCGCTTTATTTGGGAATATGCCGTTATTGTGGAACGAGTTCTCTTTTGGATAGAAGAAGCTGGCTTAACAATTTTGGGAAAGAAGTTTGCCTGCTGTGTCCCAGCTCTGGAACTTGTCAACGGGAAAGAGTGTAACACCTGTAGTAACACTCTTGACAGTGACAAGTAATATAGAAATATCAACTAAGATACAATAAGGATAACACATAATTATAAGTATGCAGAGTTAGAAATTTGTAAACATATAATAAATACAAGATTAAGGAAATAGAGAGAGAAAACACATAACAAACAAATAATCAAAATTACATAAGATAGAAAATTGATGAGATCACAACATTACACAAAAACATAAGATTTATGAGATCATAAACAGATAAACAAATAAGTGGAGGTTTGCATAAGACAAACAGAACATAAATTGTACTGAGTAGAGACTCACCTAAAGAAGAAATAGGCATTCTCGGACCAAAGGAGGACCCTTAATTAAACTTGAGCTATGAGCTCATAATTTATATTTTGGAGATAACCCCAAAAGAGAAGCCAAGAATATTAAAGGACTAGACTCGAGAGCTGAAGGAGAGTCTTCCCCCCCCCTTCTTTTTGCTCAGAGTTAAATTATTACTATTAAAAAGATATACCTTAGAACACCTATCTCGAAGAGCACTCACTAAAAGAGGAATCCCTTTTAGAACTACCTCTTGAACTAGGATATTTATATCTCATAAATAGCTATAAACCACTTGATTCCGATTCTCAACGGTACAAGCGTTGGTAACACAGGCTGTTATCTATTGCTTGTCACCTATTCCTTTTATTCCCAACTCTACGATCTGTAAGAGACTTGGATTGCCCTGGCAGATAGCTACAGGAAGCTCGAGTAATCCTCAAAGTGCATTCTGTCCTGAGCATCAATAGAAAACTAATCTTAATTCCTCTCAATTCATTCTAGTCTACGGCTATAGCACTACGATCCATTATTGTAAGTAGCATAAGCCTGACATTTGGGGGTCTGGCCAAGAAGATTCTCTGACCAAATTTTCACCGACACCTGATTCATCTTTCTATAGGGGGTAAGTGAATTTTACAAACTATTTTTTACAAGACATATGTCTTGTAAACCGGATAGTTTGTAAAATTACATTTTTATGGGGGTAATGTATAATTTTACAAACCATCACCCAAAAATATGGGTTGCAAAATATGTGCCTTAAAATTGCAACCCATGCCCCATGGAGTAGATTTTTAAGGCACATATGTTGCAACCCTTATGTCTTGCAAACAACATGATTTGCAAAAGTACATTTTTGCCTTATTTCAAGGAATTTTACAACCATTAGTTTGCAACCCATCTATGAGTTGTAAATTATGTTTTGCAAAACTGCACAACATGGTATGTAAAATTGAATTTTACAAACCATATTTTGCAACCCTTTCAAGGAGTTTTGCAACCATTAGTTTGCAGCCCATCTATGAGTTGTAAATTATGTTTTGCAAAATTGCACAACATGGTATATAAAATTGAATTTTACAAACCATATTTTTCAACCCTCCAAAAAAAAAAAAAAAGGAAAAAAAAAGGAAAAAAAACAGGGAGACACTATGGAGTATGGAGGTACTGAACCGCCACTTTGGCCAAAAAAATTTAAAAATGATGGGATTGTGTCTATCATTGATGACCAGTTTTGACCGGACATTTATGTGGGTGTTAACTCCCATCAATGACCAGTCAAAACCAGTCATCAATTGGAGTGTTTACTCCCATCAAAAAATGAAAAAACAAATTCATCAGCCAATTTGGCCCTACATTCCTCCCATTGTTGACCATTTATGACACTGGTTGTCAATGGGAGGACACACTCCCATCAAGGACCAGTTATGACCGGTCCTTGATGGGAGTAAACACCCCCAACATCCCCATCAATGACCGGTTTTGACCAGTCATTGATGGAAGTAAACACCCCCAAGCACCCCCATCAATGACCGGTTTTGACCGGTCATTGATGGGGTTAAACACCCCCAGAAATGACTGAATTTTATTTTATTTTTCTTTTTTTCTTGGCCGAAGTGGCGGTTCAGTACCTCCATATTCCATAGTGTCTCCCTCTTTTTTTTCTTTTTTTTTTTGGAGGGTTGCAAAATATGGTTTGTAAAATTCAATTTTATATACCATGTTGTGCAATTTTGCAAAACATAATTTACAACTCATAGATGGGTTGCAAACTAATGGTTGCAAAATTGCTTGAAAGGGTTGCAAAATATGGTTTGTAAAATTCAATTTTACATACCATGTTGTGCAGTTTTGCAAAACATAATTTACAACTCATAGATGGGTTGCAAAATTCCTTGAAATAAGGCAAAAATGTACTTTTGCAAATCATGTTGTTTGCAAGACATAAGGGTTGCAACATATGTGCCTTAAAATTCTACTCCATGGGGCATGGGTTGCAATTTTAAGGCACATATTTTGCAACCCATATTTTTGGGTGATGGTTTGTAAAATTATACATTACCCCCATAAAAATGTAATTGTACAAACTATCCGGTTTACAAGACATATGTCTTGTAAAAAATAGTTTGTAAAATTACAGCGACCCTTTCTATAGTGTATGAGCAACGATTCCATTGTTCCTGACCTTACTTATAGCGAGACCAAAATATCTTACGAGAAGAATACCAATTGGCTAAAAAACTAGCGAAAACAAAATCTACTGAATATCTAGTGTCGACTAACATCCCGATTGAAGATAGCAACGTTCAACAATCTAATAGTCCACAATCCAGATCTCCAACTCCAAACAAGAGGGGAAACAATATAACAAACAGACCTGAATTTAGAGATAGAAGATCGCCGACGGCTTCTACCGACCAGCGAACTGAAAGATCGGAAAGAGAGGATTCAATCATTAGACTCACCAGAGAATTGAATGAGCTCCGCAACCAGAACTCAGCTAGGGAAAGAAGAAACAGCTTAGAGAGTAGACAATCTACCGGTCATTAATAGTACCTTGCTTTTAGAGCATATCAAACACTATCGATACTCATCAATACCATGTCTGATCGCATTAGAAATAGAAGTCAACCTAGGGCATCAAGCGATACCGAACATGACAGGCGTGAATTTCAACAACCGTACGTTAATGTTACTAATCGTCGCAAGAATTCAAAAGTTAAAAGTACTAATATAAATAATAACCTTCATGATAGTACCAATCAAATTCCAATTCAACAGGTACTACCAACGATTGAGGGGAAACCAGGAATGGTTATCCAGAGTAACAAACCAAACGACGGAAGGAGCTATACGGGCTAATCTAGGATATTGCAGGGAGGACTTCAGCGAGATGATAGCCCTACAAGGTCGAGAAGAAGCATTGATTCGAACTCAAGGATGGGATCCAGGTTCAGTCACGGTCCAACAATACCTCAGACCGAGAGAGAACGATCGATTAGAACGCCCCTTCCATCCCCAAGCGGAACCGATCCGTCCAAATACTCAAAATTATCAGGGTCATCAGACACCCGATCAGTAGATCAGATGAAAAACCAAAACAACAATCCAAGACCAATCAACTTACTGCGCAACCCTCAATTAGATCAACCTCCTCAACATCAATTCCCAGGAGCGACGCGCCCAAGAGGTCCCAGAATAAACAGAGCTTGGAGAAGCTCCATTTACTCAGAGATGGTAAGGATGGCAAGGTCCCTTCAGGGAACTTATCAACATCTGGAGGAGGGACGCATCAGAGCCCAAAGAAGAGATCAGGATGGTCCCCCCCAGACAATTACAACGGTCAGAACCTCTACACCACAGGTCAATAATTTCCATTCCTGCTTGACGGGCCCACAGCGCAGTTGGGATTGGGTCGGCACGGGTCGGCAATGACCTGTCTTCCCTGGACCTGACGGCGGTTGTGGGCTGTCATGAAATTGAGGTCGGGCCGACCTTTGGATCACCGTGAATGATCCTGATGTCTTGACATCAGGATCATCTGCCGTGATCCAAAGGCAGGCCCGACACAAACATGCGGTGATGATACCAATGATGGCTGTGTATTGGGCTTCAGCTCAGCGCCGGTGGGGATCATGTCATGCCCAATTTTGTTGGCATGACTTGGATAGGCTTTTTAAAAAAAACCTTTTCTAAAAATGAGTTTTCTGGGCCTCTTTCCATGCAAGAAAGGGGCTACCTGTGTTTCAAAATGTAAAAAAATAAAATAAAAAAACCAATGTCTTCAACAGAAATGCCACATTTCTGACAAAGATTTAATGGAATTCTAGTTAATATAGCTGCTAATGCGTTTGCAGGGAAGAACGATCATGTGTAGCGGTAATTACGTTCCCTTGTTGATTGATGTCTGCATGATCTGCTCCAATCATCAGGCTTGCCCAGCACCAGCATGGGTGTAGGTAGCAGGTTCGATCCAAGGGAGCAGAACTCTTTTTCAAGACCGAGCCTCCCAACTTCTTTGCAACCCGTTACACCAACAAGGGGCCGCTGATGTCTCCTTCTTGTTGGAAGTCAGGCCCACGGCATGACCCAGTGAGGACCATCCGTCGCGGTCATGCCCACAACATGATCCGACGAGAGGCCCACATCACAAGTGGGGCTGACATTGGCATCCGACACCTCCCGCTCTTAGCCCTGCCATTTTTTTGGGCGGGGTCAGACGAGTGAGGCCAACGAAACGGGTGATGTGGGCTCAACATTGCTCACGACCTGTGGTGTAATTACAAAGGGAAGAACAGGGAAAGTACTTAGCAAAATAGTCCAGGATCCTACTATATCTTCTTCTCATCTTCACTCTTTGGTTGTAACTCTCCTTCAAACTACTGTAGAGATGGAAAAGAAATTCACTCTTTTGAACAATAACTGGAATAAAACTGAGAAGAGCCTCAAAACTATTTCAACATTCATATCTGAGACTGTTCTGAAAAATATGGAGAATGATCTGTTTGCCAAAATAAGAATGAGAGACTGGATAAAAGAATCAGTTCTGAATAAGTTAGACACAATGAACACAAAGATAGAGGAATTAAGTAACAAAGAAACTACACAAACAAAAGATAAGATTTCTCTAGACAGAATAGAAAAATTACACAAAGAAGTGATAGAGCAACTATCTGATAACAACTTATTGATTTCACAGTATAATGACAGGATTGAAGTAATAGAGAAAGAAACATTAAGTAATAAAATAAAAATGTATACTGTTAATAATGATATAAAGAATCAAGTAGAATCCCAATTAAAAACATTTCAAAGTTACGCAGATGGAGTGAATAAGGAATTATTTAAAATAACAGAGTCACAAAATAATTCCAAAAAGGATTACAAAAACAGATTACTTAACCTGACTAACTCTGATAATAAGTTGTTACAAATAATGAAAAATGATATAGAAAGGATTAATAACAAAATACACTCTGAAGATTTAAGTAAAGGACAACTATATAATCAGAGAATATCTTCAGAGATAATATCACCCCCAGAAAACGGTAACAATGCCTGCAGTACTACAGTAGATAACAAAATGGATGGTGAGGTAGATACTAAAACAGAAGCTCATAACCAGAAGACAAGCCCTCCTCATATGGTTAACTTTAACAGAAACCCCAGAGAAAGGAATTCCCAATTGAGGTTTTCAGTCAATTCAGATAGAAGAGATGACTATGATCTAGCAATCCAAAAGATGATCCTTAATGGGTTACCCAAAGTATCTGATGGGGAGACATTTGATGGAGAAGGAGCATATAATCATATTGATTTCATTGAATGGATAGACACCCTGAAAGATGATCACAATATGCCAGATGAGATAATTACTGCTAGATTAAATTTGCTTTTCAAAGGAGCTGCTAACACTTGGTATAAACAAAAGAAAAAGGAAGTAGGAGCAAGGAATTGGGACTTTTGGAAAGAACAAATGATGGAAAAATACACTACACCAAAGTGGCGCGGAGAAGTGAAAGCAGCCATCAGAAAGGATATATTTAGAATGGATGGAGATGTGTCAGCAGCAGTATGGGTCACTAGACAAGAGAAAAGGATCAGAGCTACAGAAAAATCTATTGAAAAAGAAGTTATAATAGAGAAAATTATATCATTGTTAGACTTTGAAATAGAATATAAATTGAGAAATAATGTGGCGGAAAGTGATGACATAACAGATTTGATATCTCATCTAGAAGATATTGTTTCAGTTAGGAAAGCCAAAAAATTAAGGCTACTCAGAGAATCCAACAGGAACAACAGCTTAAGCACTACAGATAAGAATCCTCTTGACAAAGGGAAGAGTAAGGAAGTTCCAAATAATGAAGCACCAGATATAACATATTATGAATGTGGAAAGAAAGGACATAAATCAACTAAGTGTCCAGAGAAATTAAAAAAGAATAAAATGCAAGGCGTAATAAATGAAGATAATCAATTCCCATTATCAGATACAGAATCTAACGTAGAAATATCAGAAGAAATAATAGATTCTGACGACAATGATCTGGGAAACTTTGCTATAGTAGATGGTAATAATATAGCTGATGTATTGCAAATTGAACAACAGAAAGATAAAGTAGGACAAGAAATAATGAGACTATTTGACCCATCCAAGGATGGAAGTGAAGGAAGAATGCACCTACAAGGAGGGACTAACATCACTAATGTTATATGTAATAAATAGAAAGTCAAATGCATCTTGGATGGAGGAGCATTCTGCTCTATAGTTGGTCCTAAGTTGTTGCAAAAAATAAAACCTGAATGGGAAGATAAACTAACTCCTGTTCAAAATGATAAATTCTTTAGCTGTAATAGCAAGTTGAAACCTTTGGGAGTTATTAAATTACCATTATTATTTACACACAACAAAGGAAATGTCAAAATCATGACTGAACTAGTAGTCATGCAAGACTATAACATCAATTCTATACTATTAGGTAATGATTACATCATTAACTGTGGAATAGATATCATTAATAGTAAAGGTAGGTATTTTACTATTGGAGGAGATACTCATAAAAAATTTGAGATAGGAATGACAAAGAAATTAGCTATAGAAGCACTATAAATAAATAGTACTAGTAATAAATTAGAATATGATCTAACTATACAGGAGGGTAAGATCAATGAAGAACTGACTGAGACTCAAAAACAAGAGTTGAAGGAAGTACTACATAAACATAACACAGCATTTGCAACAAAAGACGAACCTTTTGGATGTATCAAAGGTCACAAAGTTTCCATATCATTGAATATTTCTAGACCATATCCTCCAAAACTAAAAAGATCTGCTTACCCAGCATCACCCAGGAGCAGAGAAGCACTTCAGCAACATGTTACAGATTTGGTTAGGGTGAATGTACTTAGGAAAGTAGGACCTAATGAGAATGTAGAAGTCACAACACCAGTCATTATAGCCTGGCATAACAATAAATCCAGGATGGTAGGGGATTTTAGAGCATTAAACAATTATACCATCCCAGATAGATATCCTATGCCCAAAATACAAGAAGCTTTAACACAACTCCAGAATGCTAAATACATCACCTGTATGGACGTGTTGAAATGTTTCCACCAGAATAGAATTCATCCCGAAATCAGACATCTGATGAGAATTATTCTACATATGGGTATATATGAATATCAAAGGATGCCTTTTGGAATCAAGAATGCGCCCTTCCATTTTCAAAGAATGATGGACGTTGAATTTAATAAAGAACTGAGAGAAGGATGGTTGATTATATATATAGATGATATTATAATTTTCACAGAAGACTGGCAAGATCACCTTAACAAATTAGCCATAGAACTGAAAAGAATTACTGCAATGAATATGAAAATATCTATGAGTAAGTGTCAATTTGGATACCAAGAACTTAAAGCATTGGGGCATATAGTATCAGGTCTAAGCAAAGCCATTGACAAGAATAAAGTAGCAGCAGTACTATTGAAAGACATGCCAAATAGCTTGAAAGAATTGCAATCCTTTTTACGGTTTGCAGGTTATTATAGACAGCATTTGAAGGAATTTGCCAAAATAAGTGGACCATTATATAAATTCTGTAGTCCTCACACAATTTTTCGAAATGACTACTGAGAGAGTTGAAGCTTTTAATATTCTGAGAGAAATGTTAACATCAGCCCCAATACTGTTTATGCCGGACCCTAAGGAACCATACAAATTATACGTAGATGCCTGCATGGAAGGTTTAGGAGCAGCATTACACCAGACTCAAACTAGAGAAGGAATACCTAAGGAAGGATTCATATGTTACATATCTAGAACTCTTAAAGATAGTGAAAAGAAATATGGGGCTAGTCAACTAGAATGTTTGTGTCTAATATGGGCCTTGGAAAAGCTATATTATTATCTAGATGGATGCAAATTTGAAGTGATTACAGACTTTAATGCTCTGAGATCCCTACTAAATATGAAAACCCCCAATAGACATATGTTGAGATGGCAAATTGCAATACAAGAATGGAGAGGAAGCATGACAATTTCTCACAGAGAAGGAAAAATACATAAGAATGCAGATGGACTGAGTAGCAGGTGTTTAGATAATAACCCAATAAACCCTGCTTGGGACGGAGAAATTCCAGCCAAAATTATGTCATTATTTCCAGAACCGAATGATGAGTCTCATATTTGAAGACAGAGAGGAGGTTGTAATATGTGGATTACACATCACAGAAATGGAAGAGGAATTTTGGGATAACATTAAAGAATCCTATGTCAATAATACAAACACCAGTAAACTAATTGAACTTCTTCAGTCTAAATTTAAACTGAATAATTTTAGTTCATCCCTAGAGGAACCTTAGA